CAGGTGATAAGCAGATGAAGAAGGCTCAGAAACTGACCAGCAGGGCCACACAATCTGTCACAGTTCCTTGTGTCACCATTGTGCCTCTGCTCTTCTGGGTGTGTGGTCTGAGTGAGGAAGCCTTGTAGTGTTCGCTGGACAGACAGCCAACTTAAGTGAATTTCCTTAAGAAGCCAGAAATGATCTGTCCTGTCCAGATGGTAACTGAGCGGAAGTGAAGCTCAGCCCTTCCTCCCGTTCCCTCCTTCCCCCGCTCCCTGCTTGCTTTGCTTCCTTCCCAAGGGGACTTGTTAGGACCCTCAGCACTAAGGATAGAAAGATGAATGAAACGCCCCTCAGCCATTTAGTAAGATGTGATTTCCTAGGTGAGTACCGACACCCTGGAGCTACAAGAAAGTTGAGTGTTATAAGGCTGTAAAAGAGACATAAACCATGCCTGGATGGAGAAGCAGAAGGTAAGTTTAATTTTGCCTAAGGGGACAGGAAAGGTGACCCACCTTTCAAGGCAAAGTTGAACCATGCTTAGAACCCACATGCACTGCCGTTGCTCAGGGCTACCCCGAAGCTGATCACGCATTCTCAGCCTGGCCACTAAATATAACTGTACTGTAGCTGACTGCTTTAACTCCTGAATAAAGAAAGAGAGGGGAAGGAATAGACTGAGTTAAAATCCAACACAGGGGCAGCAATGTAGTGCTCCTGTTCCTCAAAACAGAGAGTTCCTAACCATTGTCCATTCTTTTTCCTTTTGAAGACATCTGAACCCCTGCAACACTGGGTAATTGCCCCGTGTTTTTAAGCTAGACTTGGCAGGATTGGATGAGAATCATGTCACCTTGCTTTCTGACAAAGATCTTTCTGCTGCTGTCCTTCACTCCCTAACATAAAAGACAAGGTATGGAGGACAGGGAGAGAGATGTAGAAGGAACATAGAAAAGAAAGTTGGGAAGCAGGGAGGGGAAAAATGGACCACAGAAGTTTACTGCATTGGCAAGAGATGAATGACAAACTCCTTCTGTGGTGGCAAAGTCCTCTCTATTTAGTTGCTGGGTATGGGGAGTTATTATTGTAAGGGGTTATTGTTGTAAGAGGGTAATGCTTTAAGGGGGTATTGTTGTATAGGGGTATTATTCTAAATGGGGATATTGCTGTGAGTATTGTTGTAAGGGGGTATTGCTGTAAGTGGTTATCGTTGTAAGGGGATATTTTTGTAAGTGAATATTGCTGTAAGGGGGTATTATTCTAAGTGGTTATTGCTATAAGGTGGTATTGCTGTGAGTACTGCTGAAAAGGGGGTGTTGTTGTAAGGGCATAGGGGTTTAAGGAGGTATTGCTGTAAGGGGTATTGTTGCAAGGGGGTATTGTTGTAAGAACCTAGTGTTGTAAGGGGGTATTTTGGTAAGGGGTTATTGCATAAGGGGGTATTGTTGTAAGTGAGTATTGCTATAAGGGGATATTTTTATAAGGGGATATTGTTGAGGGGGTATTGTTGAAGGAGGGGTATTGCTGGAAGAGCATATTGGTATGGGGGGGTTGTTGTGACAGACCTGACCATGGTGTTTTGGAGAGAATTGTAGAAGGACCTTTGGACTTTGGGCTGGAAAAGCTATTGAATGCTCAGAGACCAATGAGATGTTCTTTGAAAGCTTGGAAGATTAAGAATGCTGGGAGAAATGCAGATGGTGGAAGTCAGGTTTGTGAAGTTTTAGAGGAAAGTTTAAAGACTCTCTCTCCAAATAATTTGCTATTTTTAATTAAGAATCTGCGGTTCTGGTCAGTTGGGGATGAAGAGTCAGCCATGATTAACAAGAGATCAGTACCACTGAAGTGAAACCTTTGCTTTACTGGAACAATTGATGCTAATCATCTGGAGCTACAAAATAAACAGTGTTTAAGAGATCAGCACCATTGAAACAAAATCTTCTGGGAAGTCTTTCCTCAGAGTCAGGACAGAACCTCTGCTGTGGTCCAGAGGCAGCCAAGGCTGCTCCTCATGCTGTCAGTCAAACTTGGTAGTGTAAGAGTCACCCAGGCACTGCAGAATGCAAAGGTATGAACGGGTGTGAACGGTCATAGAGAGTAGCTGGGTCCAGGAGAAGCCACTGGTGAAGGTGCAGCCTCATTTGCAGTCAAAGCTTCAGGAATGAGGGGTTACTGAGAGAAGTGGCAGCGTGACACAAGTAGCATCTTTAGAGCCCCTGAAGAAAGCCCAGGACAGACTATTAGTGAAGGTGTAGCCCAGTTGTAATAGAGACTTTGGCATGTTGGAGATGCCATTATCATGGGACAACCAGCAAGGGAAGCAGCAGATGTAGAATGGAGCCAGCCTGAACCTAAGAGACAAGCTGTGTGTGCTGTGAATGGCTGCCCAAACACTTTGAAGGAGTCCAGAAGACTGCAAAAGAGACCCAGAAGTCTGACACTGACTTTACACTGTTGGAATTTGGCTTTGCTTGGTTCAGATTTTAACTGTGGTCCCTTTCTTCCCTCTTGGAATAAAAATGCATTTAACTTCTTTGGTTTTCATAGGAACCCACAGTTGAGAGATTTTTATTTTTAAAGAGACTTTGGAGTTTTATAGAGTGTAGATTTCTAGAGAGACTTTGGATTCTAAAATGAATCAGTTATTTTAAAAAGACTGAATTTTTAATGTATTTGAATTTGTGAAGACTACAGAATTTTCAGTTATTTATGTTTTATATTGAAATGTTAATATTAACATCCCATCTTGGGGACAAAGGAGAAAAGAAAGGTTACATACAAAAAGTGATGTGCTTGTATGTCAACTTGACAAGTGATTAATTATCCTGGTTGGTTTTTATTTCAAATTGACATAAGCTTGAGTCATCCCAGTGGAGGGAAATTCAATTGAGAAAATGCCTCCATAAGATCAGTGATGGGGGAGTCTTTCTCTACACTGCCACAAATATATGTTGCTCTGATTGGTTGATAAATAAAGTTGTTTAGCCTATGGCAAGGCAGCTTAGAGGCAGGCGGGAAATTCAAAGAGAGAGACAGAAAGAAGGCAGAGGGAGATGCCAGCAAGCTGCCCAAGGAGCAACATGTAATGGGACGCTTTGGTAAAGCCATGGAACATGTGGTTATACATAGATTAATAGTTATGGGCTAATTTAAGATATAAGGGCTGTCTAGCAAAAAGCTTGAGCCATGGTCATGCAGTTATAATTAATATAAGCCTCTTTGTATTTACTTGGGGGACATGAGAGGGAGAGATTTGTCCCAACTGCAGGCAGGCCGGGACACAGGCAATCTTCTGACTAAAGATCAGCTTGTAAGCAAGCCTGTAGGCCATTTTTATAATTGGCGACTGGTGCAGGGGAGCAGCCCATTGTGGATGGTGCCACCCCTGGGCTATTGGTCTTGGGTGTGATAAGGAAGAAGACTAAGCAAGCCATGAAGAGTAAGCTACCCAGCATCACTCCTCTAGAGCCTCTACACCAGCTCCTGTCTCCAGGTTCCTGCCTTGTTTGAGTTCCTTCCCTAGCTGCTTTCAATGATGAATTGCTATGTAGAGATGTGAGCGAAATAAACCCTTTCCTCCCCAAGCTGCTTTTGGTCACAGTGTTTCATCACAGCAATAGAAACCCTGACTAAGACATTGGACTAATCAAGCTGTCTGGATAGTGTTCTTACTCACCAAGGAAGGGGGTTCCTCTGGAATTGCACTCTCCCTTCATCTTATCTGCCCTATTGCACTATTTCAGAATATCTGATGGAAAAGCCCAGTTTGGACACATGGTAGAATAACCATTCTTTGCTTGTCAAGCCTCGTCTTGAAAGCTTACATATTCATATTAATATCTCTACATTATGATCAGGAAGTTGGGACAAGTCACAAGTCCCTCCAGAGTCAAAGGGACTTGGGACCAATGGAAGACAAACAAAACTTCCTCATTGGGATCAAGGTGAGGCAAATAAAACATCTTCATTCCTTCACTTGGACTCCTGGTTTTTCTGTTATGCCTCTTCACTCATATTATTACATAGTCCTAGAAAGTGTATGCATGTGGAGTTCCTACCTGTAACCAAATTGGGGGTGGGTGAGGGGGGAACTCTTGGTAAAACAGAGCACTTGGGCTATTTCATGAGTAGAGCAGTTAAGCAATAACAGCCTTGATTCTAGCAAGCATTTGATGCTGTCTCTGGGTACTCCATAGAGGACTTCCCTCTTTAGAAGTGGTCACATCTCCAACCCATTCTCATGGTATCCTTTGCTGGTATTTATATTAGAGGCATCATACAGCCCCAGAAGTTATGATTTGAGTACCAGAGATGGAGCAGGGAATCACTGTAGGTAAGGCAGCAGCCCACAGGCAAAGATAGCTATTCTTTTCCCTGAAGGTGACAAGGGTATTGGCTGCAGCAGAAGTAGGAAGGATGGGATCATCCTGAGCCTGGAGACTCCCTAAATTTTTGTCAGTGTGCATGGTTCCATTCTCTTGTCTCCCAGGGAATTTCCAGGCCCTGTTCTTTCAGGTTCCCATTTTAAACCTCGGTTGATCATCTGTTAAGGGGGGGAATTCATCCTATGGCAGTCCTCACTCCCAGCAAAGGGCTTGACCTTGTGAAGTTGTGTGTTGCTATCTGAGCAACCTGGGCATGACGAGTAACCACTGTCCAGGAAATGGACATTTCTTTAAACACCCGACTTCAGAGAGAAAGTAGAGCAGACACCACTGGCTTTTATTCCTTTATCCAAGAAAAGCAGCAGATTCTGTGTTCAAGACCAGAGTGGAGCTAATAGACTTGCTTCCCACTCCAGCATTCGAACAAGTCAACAGCAGCAACAGCAGCAGACTTTGCCAGTTTCCTACTCTACCTCGTCTGTAACTCTGGGTTTCCGAATTGGTAAAGGTGGAACAAATCTCCCAACAGTCTATGTCAACACATCCTCGGGATCCCAAACTCAACAGTTTGGTTTACATTTCCAACAGCAGCAAAAGCAACCTGTCCACAGAGAGCAAAGCCAGAGGGGGCCAATTAGGGGAAAGGGTTTTGAAGAAAAGAATACACAGACTGGGAAAAAAAGCCCAGATGAAAGTCCAGAGGAGAGTGAGTGACAAGAAAGGAAGCTTGAGAGCGGCTGACAGGTGGGCTGAGCGGTGGTGCTGACGGCCGCGCGTGTGGCGGCGGGGGGCCTCCCACCCACCAAGGGCAGCACAGGCCTCGGCGGAGACGCCTCACAAGCGTGGGCAGCGGAGGAGGGAGCGGGGTGTGAGCCCCGCGCCAGGCAGCTGCGACAGGAGGCAGGCGGCGGGCGCGCGGGCTCCCAGCCAGCCTGCTTCCCATTGGCCCTCGGGAAGCGCTCGGAGCTGTTCTTCTCTTCCTGGACGCAGCGGCTGTCCACCGGTTCCCGCGAGTCAGTTTCGAGAAATTCCTTGCCTACCTAGCTGGGAGAGCTAGGTTGGGCTCCGGCGGCCCTCTAGAGCGCTCTTCCGGCTGGAGACTCAGGGACGAGACCCGGGGATGAGCGGCGGAAGGCGGCGCCGGCACTGACTGGACTCCCGGCCAAGGCTACCCGCCACCGGCTGGGGATGAGCAGGCTGGGTCAGATGCCTTAGCCGGGTGCACGCGCCGGGCGGAGCGCGCAGGTCGGACTGTGCTCTCTCGGCGGTCCGCCCTGCGTTCGTGCCTGGCCAGTCCCAGGATGGGCACTGGAGCCCCCGGGGCCGCGCCCGCTAGAGCCCGGCGTCCCTTCCACGTCCTGAGCTCATGTATGTAGGTGCCAGTCCACCGGGGTGAGGGTGCATGTTAGAGGTCCACGCCGCGGGCACCGGGACACCTCCGGAAACTATTCAATGGCCCAGACGCTGGGGAGGACCCCTGCCTGCCTCCCAAGTTTTAAATATGGGCGATTAACCCTGGGCTGAGGTCCCCTGGGGTTGGCGGTGAGCCAGGGGCCAGCATGATTAGAGTCCTGATAGAGAAGGCTGAGGCAGAGGGCAGACGCACTGGTGTGCACCAAGAGAGGGTGGGTGCTTGGACAAGGCGAATAGAGACTGCCATGTCTGTGCCCAGCGGTGTCTGGGGCTCTAGGCTCCTTTGGGCAACAGAAACTTTGAGATCCACAAAGGCTGGAAGACACCCTTCAGCGAGATAGTCCTATAACCCTGTACCTCCCACCTTCCCTCTCGGTACTCCCTGGACAGGCACCGCTTCTCCATCACCAAGACCCCTCCGGGTTAAAAGCTATTCCAAGACAGCGCTGTTGCCGGTGACAGCGGCTCACGTCACCCTCCAAACCGCCTAGTGAAGAGCCGGGTACAGAAAGGGGGGTAACAGCAAAGGAGCAAAGCCTCGGGGAAACCCGGACCCGGTCGACCAGGCAGAGGCCAGGTATTGCCTAGGTTAGAGAACGGAGGGGACATGTGTTCCCTAGACAGGAGGCATCTAAGAAGTTACAAATGCCTCGTGGGGTCTTCGGAGTAGCAGTGGGTTTTTTTGTTTGTTTGTTTGTTTGTTTGTTTTCCCCAGTTCTTCCCCAGCTCCCTTTCCATGCACAAACCCCTTGGGCAAGAGAGGAAGGGTTTCTCTTTAATCTGTGCGCCCATTTGTCGGTCTCCAACTCCACTGCGGAATTCTCCTTTTAGTAACCTGCGGGAAATGCGGCCAAGACTTAGGGAGGGCCAGCCCAGGTGCCGGATTTTGAGCTTTGAGTGCAAGCCTTGCAGCCGGCACCCGCCCGACTTGCTGCATTTTCTGGGCTCCGCAACCTGCCGGGTGACCATCTCCAGCACTAATCTCCACTGCAGGAGACTCCGCGGCCGGTGTTTTTCTTGGACTCTGCTTGCTACATATTCCTGCACATGTGTGATGTCTGAGAAGCCCGTTGTGTACAGACACTGGGCAAGCTGCCCCCGCCCCCGGCGTCCAGCTCGTTAATCTCGAGCGATGCGGGAGCCCGGGCGGCGCCGGGCCGGGTGGGGGCCACGGCGGGGCCGAGGTGCGCGCGGGCCGCGGAGCTCAGTTGTGCTGCTGTTCTCTCCACAGGGACGGCGACTCCCGGCTGGCAGCGGCGCGCCCCCGGGCTGTGAATGCGACTCGCTCATCGTCCGCGCTCCCCGCCCGCCCGCCCGCCGGGACGTGGTAGGGGATGCCTAGCTCCTCTGCGATGGCAGTTGGCGCGCTCTCCAGTTCCCTCTTGGTCACCTGCTGCCTGATGGTGGCTCTGTGCAGTCCGAGCATCCCGCTGGAGAAGCTGGCCCAAGCTCCTGAGCAACCCGGCCAGGAGAAACGCGAGCACGCGTCTCGGGACAGCCCCGGGCGGGTGAGCGAGCTCGGGCGCGCCGCGAGGGACGAGGGCAGCAGTGCCCGGGACTGGAAGAGTAAGGGCAGCCGCGCGCTCGCGAGCCGGGAGGCGTGGAGCAAGCAGAAGCAGGCCTGGACTGCCCAGGGCGGGAGTGTCAAGGCCGCGGACTGGCAGGTCCGACCTCGGGGGGACACCCCGCAGGAAGAGTCCCCGGCCGCCGCCCAGGAAGCGATCAGCCTAGAACTCGTGCCCACACCAGAGCTGCCTGAGGAATACGCTTACCCGGACTACCGCGGCAAGGGCTGCGTGGATGAGAGTGGCTTCGTGTATGCGATCGGGGAGAAGTTTGCCCCAGGTCCCTCAGCCTGCCCGTGTCTGTGTACGGAGGAGGGGCCCCTGTGCGCACAGCCAGAGTGCCCGCGGCTTCACCCGCGCTGCATCCACGTCGACACTAGCCAGTGCTGTCCGCAGTGCAAGGAGAGGAAGAACTACTGCGAGTTCCGGGGCAAGACCTACCAGACTTTGGAGGAGTTCGTGGTAAGAGGCAAGCGCCTGCCGGCGACTTGGCACCTTCCAGGAAGGGATGGAATGGCTTTGGTTCTGTGACACCCCCACCCCCACCACACACACACACACACACACACACACACACACACACACACACACACACACTTTGAAGGGAAGGCTCTCTCTGGTTCTCTGAGGTGGAGAGTGTGGTTTGGGCACCCTTTTTTAACATACCCTCTTTTCAGTGCTGGGGTAGTCCTTATAAGACCAGTGTGGCCAGTCCGTATTGATTGATCTGGTATTTGCTGTGAAGGGGTTTCATTAGACAGAAGCCTTGGCACCAAGGGAACAGCTGTAGGCTATTGGCTGTGCTTTCAACACGAATTCATTGCTTCTAATTTAGAAGTGAAGTGCTCAACCTGTTTTCAAACACAGTGTAATTTACCCTGCCACTTGGGACATAGTCTTTAGTAATTGCCTAATTAAGAAAGACCACTTATATACATAAGCCATTCCCCAGCTCTGGTGGTCAGACTAACAAGTACATGTCCTAAATATCAATATCAATATACATATATATATATATATATTATTTATTTATTTATTTATTTTGCTTACTAGTTGACAAAACATGGTGGAAAGCAACACCGAGAAGCCCAGTTTCTGGTTAAAAGAGTTTTAATCTAAGAGGAATACAAGGAATTCTATTTCTCTTGATCCTCTGTATTGGGTTCCAGTCTCGGGTTCTCACGTGCCGTGAGTTAGTGGGACTATATATCTGGCTAGTGGATAGGTTATTTATCTCTGTTTCATGAAGAAGAAGAAACTGAGACAGAGAATATTTAAATCATGAGCTGGTGGCAGGGAAGCTCACAACGAGCAAATTCTTGTACCAAAATTAGCAATTCTGCTCTCTAGTGTATGCTCCAAGCCTTAGGCTCCACTTGAACTCCAGCCCGGGCCTACTGGGACTTAGGTTTGCATTAAGATTATGCCATGCTTGCATGTGCTGGGTGTGATGCAAGGTGCAATGTCTGCCTCTGGGTTAAGAACCTTTGGAATGTACTTCTGTCTGCATTTGCAAACACCCTTTGTGGGGCCCTGGCCCTTGACATAACATGCCAAAGGTATTTCCCCCCCTGCCAGCAGAGGGCATCCTGAACCTGCCAATCATAAAGCAGAGGTTGGAAGACAGGAAGGAAGCCTTTTGGAATTGGGAATCCCCTGTAAATTTGTGGACTCCTAGACTCCGTGTGTGAAAGGTACATTAGTGAGTGGAGTGAATTCCAGCATGGGGAGCACAGTGAAGTGGAAAGCCAGGAAGAACTGATCTACAGATAGTGTGTAAACTGTGGAACCAGCTTTGCGATTTAGTCGGGAAACATGGGTTTCCATTTGGACTTGGCTGCTGCTCAAGTGCATGACTAAAACGAGGCATGCACGTGCTCCATTTGGATTTTATTTTTGTTCTCTGTGAGATGAGGGATCTACTATCCCCAAGGCTCACGGCCAGGGTACAGCTTCAGATGTACCACATTCTTTGGCTTCGGCCCTTTGGAGAAAGAACTATGATGAAAATTCCATAGGACCCAAACTCAGGAGATATGTTAAGAGTCAAGAACACTGTCCTCAAAAATGCCTCCTGTGCACCGGGGATGCTGCCAGACAGCTCTCCAGACATTTTGGATTCCCAGCACAATTCTCTTAAGTGGTTTGGGTTCATAAGATAATCAGGGTCTTATAAAATTGAAGACAAACAGTTGTTTTTAAATTAATAACATTTGTTGCTTGTTCTGTTTATAGAGTTCCAAGGCACTTTAGAAGAGCTTTGTGAGGTGAGCTGAGGAATTATTTTACTATGAAATAGAGAGCTGAAACACTTCCCAGAGGAGCCATCCCCGCACCTGAAATCACAGATACAGGAGAACTCAAACTTCTGTTTTCATAATTCATTGCCAAGTACTAGAAACAAGGGAGCTGTCTTTTCCTTTTAGGGGAAGGCAAACTCTTGTTTGATTTCTGCCTGCAAAAACTGGTATTGGATAGAGAGGATGTGTTTTCAAGCTCTGGGGGAGGGGCAATAGTGACAGAAGAAACAGGAAGTGTCAAAGTATTCACATCTTCCTTCTTCAAATGACTTCATACTCTCTCTCTCTGTCTTTGTTTGTCTCTTTCTCTCTGTCTTTCACTCTCTCTCTGTCTCTCTCTGTGTGTGTGCGCGTGTACGTGTACGTGTGTGTGCGCGCGTGCGTGTGTGCGCGCGTGCGTGTGTGTGTGTGTGTGTGTGTGTGTGTGTGTGTGTGTACATGCATAGACCCAGAGGTCAATGTGTAGTGTCTTCCTCAGTTTCCAGCTTACTATTGAGAAAGAATCTCACACTGTCCCTGAAGCTTACTGATTTAGACAGGTTGGCCACCTCTAGAGACCATCCTTCCCCTCTGCCCAAAGCATGAGGGTTACCAAGGTATGCCACAGCGCCAGGCTTTTATGTGGGTGCTGGGAATCCAAACTCTGGTCCTCTTACTTGCACAGCAAACTGACTGAGCCATCTCCAGCCTGACTTTTCATTCTTAACATTCAGTCAGTCTTTACACATGCTAGGGTGTCACATGTTGGGATATTGCTAAGTGTCATAGTTTTAACTTATGACATTTATGTCATTTTATTCTATGATGCCATGCTTGTTCCTTACTATAGGTATCAAGTAAATTTCTAGTCATTTATCTTATTTGGTATGGCTAAGTGAAGTCATTTGTGCCTGTGGCTGTTGTTTTTCAACATTACACAAAGACCTACCACTTAGGTGGGGGATCCTGCAAAGGATCAGTATGGAAGAGTGCAGTCAGCTTCTGGTCCATGGAGTTTGTGGATGGCAGTGATGGATATTTACTTTGCAAAAGTTCACATACTTGCTCTGAGTATTCAGAGAGAGATGTTATCTGTCCATCAGTCTATTTTATGATATAGTAGACTAATATTCAGAACTGTGAGCTAGAGATAGTTATGGAGAGAAAGACTTTCTTTCCTGAAGAGATACAGAGCCCTGCAACAGGCTGGTCTCTGCTTCCTGACTGAGGAAATTGCTAGCCCTGCCTAGTGAATATTTGAAGTGAGCAGTAGATGAAACTGCTAGGCTGCCAGCTGCCAGCATGTGCCTGTGATGTGGGGCATTTGGCTCCTAAGCCACCAGCGTTTCCTTGGTTCCTATGCTTCCCTTTCTTGGGCACATGTTACCCACCCCTTCTGCTACAGAATCTCACCCTGCCTTTTATCTTCTTTCTGGATACTTTAACCCTTATCAAAACCCCTGCTATTTATGGCTGTAGAAGACTTGACTAGTTGACAAAATACCACAAAGGCAATAGTGGTGACAAGGATGATGGCCTCACTCCTCCAGGTGTCTGTAATCCCGTTTGTATTCCTGAATGGGGGGGGGGGGGCAGTTAGTAGTAGAATGTTTTCCACTGCCTCTTGATTATATATTAAGAGTTTATCCTTTTATGGCAGCAGCAGATATCCAAGATTAGAACAAGTTCCATCTGCTTTGTGCTTCCTAGGAATATTAGTTGGCTAGGGTTGCCATAATAAGTACCAAATTAAAAACAAAACAAAAAAATGAAAAAGAAAAAAAAAACATGGTTCCTTAAGACATAGAAATGCATGGTCTTGAAGGCTAGAAGTTCGAGAGCAGGGCATGCACAGGGTTGATTCCATCTAGCTTGTAAGGGGCTGTCCTCTCTGTGTCTTTATTGCTCTTTCTTCTGGACATTGTTGTTCAAAGTTTTTTTTTTCCTTCTTTCTTAATGGCCATGCTTGTCGTTGTGGGGGTTGAATCAGTGGTTTTCCACATGATAGACAAACACCCTAAGCCAAACCCCCAGCCCCAGATTTCTTGCCAGGACACCAGTACTGTTCGATTGTCATTCCAATGACCTCATTTTAACCCAGTTTCCTCTCTCAAAGGCTAGATCTCCATATTCAGTCAAATTATTAGGTATAATGGTTGGGACTTGACAATAAAATCAGGGTACAGTTTGGTCATTCCAGTGACCAGAGTTGACCTTGTGGCAATGAGACTAAGGGACCAACAAGACAGCTGGAGTAGAGAGGGACATATTTACACAAAGAAAGGAAGAAAGTGTTTATAAAGAAGACACAGGGAAAGATAATAATAACTCCAGGCCCAGTAACATCATCTTAACCCATGTAATTATGTCAGTTCCATTGTGTGAGTGCCACTTTTGGAGTTTTTATGTTGCTTCTGCGGCTGCACTCGCTAGTCACAGATAGCTAGAAGGTGACTCTGCTGCTCTGTTGAGTTTTAAACCTGTTCCCCATAATGATTAGCGTTTAGTGAAGAACCCAACTGAGTTTGAAATCCATTAACAAGAAATCATTTTATTTGGATCTATACAAAATTGTTCCCATTGTGGGAACTCTGGTTCTGGGGGACTCATGAAGGTCTCAACGGGAATCCGTAGTCATATTCAGTGTTTTATTCAAGCTGGTGGAACTCATGGGGCTCTCTGAAGTAAGACTGTATTGGATAGCTAACACTTCACGTTTCTTTGCTTCTGGTTGGATAGTATCAGTTCAAGGTGTCAGCACTGTTATCACAGCAATCAGAAGCTCAACTGGCAATCACTATGTCTTTGGAAAAGAAAATATGAATTATTAGTAGAAATTGCTTGATGGACCGTCTGTCAGTGCTCAAGAACTATGGAAAAGGAAAGAACTGTGGGGTTTCTGCAGGCAAATTGGATGGGGGCTACTGACTTAAAGCAAGCTCTCTCTCTCTCTTTCTCTCTCTCCCTTTCTGAATAATTGTCTGGCTTGCTATTAACTGTATCACAAAATTCTCATTTCTAGAATTTCATCAATGAGAAAAATATTTTTACATGAAAATTGGAACCAAAACTTCTGTCTAAATAGATGTCTGTTGCAATTTTGGATAAGTGCCAGTAAAACAAAATCAATCATATCTTCAGTCTAATGGTGTTTATATTCTTTTGGCTGATATTGCTTAGCCA